ATACTTCGTGATATCTGGTCTTGCTGGCGTTTTGCGCCAATTTTCATACTCTGGCGGGCTGACGTCTGTTTTTTATGTTTATTTGTTAACGTATATTGAGTATCAGCCTGCGAAGCAGCACCTTTCGAGCCACTGATTCCCAACGAAGACTCATTTTCTAGATTGAACGAAGGTCCAAGCGACGTTTGTAGCATCAGGAAGCAAATGGAAAAGAACTTCTTTCATGCGTGATCAAGGCTAAGACCGGCCATCATTGGAGTTATCTCATTGTGATTCTGGATACAGACCGAGTTTGATCCGAAACGTCAATACCTCAATAGAATGTTTAAAAATTTCAAGGATTACCATGAACGCAGTCTCGCCATTCTCCCGCTGGGGTTTGTAAAGAGAGAGTGCGTGTAGGTTTCGTAAGCTGCCTCTTCGACATTCGGATACATATGGTTTCATTATTAATAGTTGTTAACTTACTAATGATTTCGTAACTGACTGTACTCGAGTACAGTACGCTGTGGCAATGATGTTATCAGCTACAGCGAATCTTCTGTATAAGGAAGCTTAAGGGTCAGATTTTAGACCTTGTCATATAGGTATTCTAAACATGCAGATATTTGGAATATTTGTGACGAAATGTCACGGTCCATTTTGCAGAAAGTTTTTCAATCCATTTGGCAAAGACTGAGTGGAAAATTGATGATTTCGTACCTGTTTGAATGTCGAAGTTCTTCATGCTCCCATGATGGGTGCCATTTTTTTCATTCTTAATTTCATAGAACTTACTGTGCGACTGCGACATTGTTCTTGATGCTGACTTTCAGAAGGGTATTGTTAAGGAAGGCTATATCAATCGCAGTGGTTTTACACAAAGCAAGCATATTTTAAATTCAGCATGAAGGACGCATATTTACTATAAGGGCTGGATGTTTTTACCTTGTGATTTCTAGCTGATTCAGCATGCTTTCCAGGGGACGTCGGCGCGGTACAAGGCTGAAGACTCTGCAGAGAATGATTTTTTTACGGAAGCTACCGCTGGGCTTTATTTCAGCCTAAAGCTGGCGATTGGTCATTGCGATTATTTAATATAATATTGTAGATAGAGTAAAGACAGCTGCCTGCTAACCTGTTAATAAAATGGCCACTAAGACTGTTTCGCGGTCAGCGCGTTTGACTGTCAAACCCTAGTCGAGCGATTTTACTACGGGGCGCTAACCGAAGTTTTCCTGGCTTCCGCAGATTCCATCGAAAATGTCATTTAGTGCTTATGCATTGCAGCAGTTTCTTGCTTCATCCGGGTGAAGGTTCTTCTCGCCAAACGAGCCCGTTGTTCATCAACGGATCTCAACAGATCCGGCGGCGTCCATCTCTTTTACGGGTCGTTGAATACTATTGTCAGCGTCTTGTTCATTTGACGGCTTTTTCTTTAGCTCTACCGGTTATTTGACATCCCCCTCTACCGCACGGTTGGACATCTTACGGTGGCTGCTTGCTCGCTTTAGTCGCCGGGTGAGCTACTACGTTGTAGGCTGTATCGAATTACGTGATATCGGTATCCGACGACTGACCCTACCACTTAAATGTTCACGTCCCGTGGCAAAGCAAGCAGAGCATACGCCTATCCACTCACCCACACACAAGTGATGGCTAACAAAGTTGAAGCAACTGCACACAAATCTCATTGTATGTAATTACGGACAAAATCCTATGCTCGCCTTTTTTTCAACCGGTGCTTAGTACCTGTAACGACAGAGTTAATATGCTATATTACGCTGTGTTAAATGAACGTTTATTGTTTGCTCCGAAGTTGCTTTCTTTTGAAGAATATTGATTCAGGTGTGTGGCGTAATTAAATTCATCCACTGCGAGTGAAATTAACTTCTGCAACTTCATTTTATGGCGTATTGCGACGTCTTAGTCATTGCTCATAGTTGCTTAAAGAGGCTTTTAAGCGGGCCACGGCTCCGCCGGATCTGAGCACTTGCAGTTTTAGATGTATTTCACATCATAGCCCTAGAAAAGTTATTCGGCTGTTAAAGGAATCCGGCATGCGAGTCGATATTATTCGATAGCGTTAAGGAATATCAGTCAGCTCCTGAAGCATCGACCGTGACGAGCAGGTGGAAGTTGTTCTAATGAATACAATGCTTTTCTTTTTCTCCTTGTTTTCCTTTTATCCTTTTCCTTCTTCAGTGACCTTCTTGAATTGCCAATTCCTCGTAGGCAGCTAAGAATAAGAGAGCAGTGCAATACGCGATGAAATCTGGTCTTGAACGATTCGTCTGTTAGCACAGTCTGACGTTTAAGCGTATATTTTAGACATTCATTCCTTTCGTGGCTTGCGATGAGACTTCTATAAGTCGATTCCTTGCATCCGAGATCATTGTTTGTTTTGGGTCATTCGGTTCATCATTCAGCACAACTAAAAATAAAAAACGATGGGGCAAGGGTTTTGCTTTCAGCGCGTTTCGTTGTCACGGGCTGCGCGTTTCACTCAGTTGCAAGTCTTTTGGTCAGTCATCAGTCGGAAACTTTTTTTTAAAATTTACGTTGACACATTGTGTTGATTTTTAGTCAGGTGTCAGTTGGCTCAAGGCGAATTGCCACCGTAGGGTGTACGCATTGGATAGCATGACCCTATGTCTCTCGCGCTTTGGAATCGCCACACCACGGCACCATGCTGTCCCTGTTATTCGCAAGTCAACGACGTGCATCCGTTTTTCGGCAAGTTACACTGTAGTGCAATAGAGTGAATTCTTTGCTCAGTGAAGTCATCAGTTAATAATATAACTCACGCCGCGCTTTGCGTTTGAACTTGCACTGTGAGGTGTAAAGCAGCCTATTAGTTGCGTCATTGCAACAATAGTGGTTAAAGAATGATAGCCAGTGAATAGCGGTTAATTTGTTTGCAGGTTCAGGCGCGGACAAATAGTTGAATGACTTCGTTTAGTTGCATCGACGACAATCGGTTGGCTCCGGTTATAAACCATTCGTCGATGATTGAGAGATGTCTTTACAAGTATCTTTTATGGAGATGAACCATTTGTCGTTTGCGCGGTTTCGAAAGAACAATGGCCGCTCATGTTTTATTTTCGACTGCTGCGGGTGATCGTTCGGCAGAAAACCGTTGTAGTCATTCTACCGACAACCACCCCTTCCCTTCTCTTCTCCTCGGAAGACGCGACTGACGATCATGCTGTTTTCAGCCCAAGCATTGATGGCCTATAGGGCCATGGACAAGCGTCAGACTAATCGAGCCGTTGTCGCTTACCGATCAGACCGATGGAGGTCAGCATTTTTTGTTGTTGTTGTCACCGCTCCATTAAGCCGTTTCCGTTTGCATTTGCCCAGAGTCTCTGATGAGTGATGTCTATGTCTTAAACAGTCTATAAAATCTCGGTTACTACGACGGTAATTTTGCTTCTCAGTGCGGGTCAGCCTCAGTTTTGTTATCTGTCCTCACCTTACTGGTTGACGTCTGCCGTGCTGTGTTGCGTTCACCACTAAAATAGCTGTGGTGAAGAGCTGATTCTCAGTGATTTTGTTTAAAACGGCTAATCATAATTTCCCGATTTCAAGGAACAGAGTCATTCCACACAAGGTCTTTCGATTTCATCCACGTTAAGCGTTGAAGCCAGCACATTTGTACGTTGTTTAGCCATCGTTCGTTAGAACAACGGTCCCTGTCATGTAATAAAGCTTAATTCACTACAGTCAGATATTGATGGAAGGGATATTCAATTATTAGTTCAAATATTGCGCGAGATATTGAAAGTATTCTATGCAAAAGCGATCCTTTTGTTTAATTCTAATTGACTTTCATCGTCGTTGGACTTTGTAGGACCAAGGTAGATGAACTGGTCAAACCCGTACTGTTTCAGTTGCCTTTTCTATAAGACGAATACTTCATAGTTTTGACTTATGTATTTTAAAAGGACGACCAGCTTTCGCAACAGTGCTGTCAACACAGCTTCTTTGGCAAAGCCCGCTTCTCGAGCTACTCATTTGAGCTGTTTCGGTTGCGTACACTAAGTTGGCAAGATGTCTTGAACTGCACTTCTATTCTAAAATGATACTTTCTTCTTTGTTTGCATTTAAAGTGTTCTTTAGAGGCATCGTATAATGATCAGAACGTTCACCGTCTACTCCCAGACCTCGCAGACCATCGATTGCTGGTCCGCATCTCAACTGGTCTGGTTGCTGCTGATTCCTTACTTAAAAGACAGTGAACGAAGCAGAACTCGTCACCGTGGTGCAAACTTCGAATGCTTAGTTTGCAAAGAAAGCTAACTAAATTCTGCACTGACGAAATTAGTTTGTAGAAACATTTCAAGAAACATCGATATCGTCGCATTAGGAATACTGACGAAAGGACACGAATCGAATAATCTCGCAAAAATACTCGTATTGTAGAGTCATTATTTTGTGGATTAGCCGCACGACGATTCAGCCAGCTGACATCAGTGTCATTGTTTTATAGC